AAATGTGTATCAGACTGTGCAATCTCTCCATGAGTGGTTTTGAAACCCAGTATGGGATTCTGAGATACATTACCAAGGATATTATTACAAGATAAATCATTTGCTTCATGAACACATACAACAATGCATATTTCCACTGAGATCAGTGACCTTTGATGTGTATCACCAGTGATCAGTCAAGCAGAAACAGTCCAAATATTTTATCAGATTTTCTCAATTTTTGCATGATATTTTCATACAGGACATCTGTTGTTCAAACTCAGGGAAGACTTTATACTGATGAATAAGGTGACCAAGTTTGATAAAGTTTGGAATAGAATTAGTAAAGTTATTATGCACACAATAACAATTATTAACGACGCCGACGCCGACGCCGACGACAACAACGGACAAAATTTTTCCCTTAATATACCTTTCCCTTCCATCTTTGATGGTACGGGCAAGGTAACAAACAATGGTATTATGCAAATTATCTAATTAATATGCACAAACTGATATTTGACTGTTATGATACCAACCAAACATACTAAATGTACTAGTAGTTGAAATTGATTAAATATGCAAATTACCAAAATGAAAATAATACCAATATGAAATTGCATTTGAATCTTCAAAGTGGTTCTTATAGGTGAAACAAGATTAAATCATATTGTCGTTTGTGCTCTAAAAAATATACAAGCAAAAAACAAATGATTATACTCTTAAAGTGTGGCAGTTGTTTCATAGCATTCATGTATGAGAATTCTGTACAGACCATGTACTCAACACATTTTGTATCACATTGGGCCTATATTGTCAACAAGAAAGAGTTCATCAGAATAATGGTAATGTATGCAGTAGAAATAAGCTTATGGATGTATTTACCAATTTTCTTCCTCTCCTCATTTCTTGTCTAACTTTATTTGCATCAAAACCTTCTCCAAAGTTAACAAACTTTTCACTGTATGGAGATACTTCTAATCCAAGACCACTAGAATTGAACTGTTAAGATACAACAATCAGATAAAATTAGAGTGTAATATAAATAATAAGATTACAATTACATTTACGACAAGAGACATTACAATAGATACATGTATTCAATGGAGCTTAATCAATAGTTTTCTTTTTGTATAAAGTGAAAAGTGAGGATAAGCTCCAAACAATACAATAATACATTGTATACATGTATCTAAATAAAATTTGGTAGGAAAAATAAGTATGAGTGTACAAAATAAAAAAAAGTATTTATTTATTTAATTGCTACCTCATACATGTACCGGGTATGTATTAAAAAAAGACTAAAGTTGCCTGTTGTTCTCTTCTTGAGTTTCTTCACTGGGATTAAATGTTTGCATGTTTAAATAATAAATTAATAACTGAGTTTCTTTTTGTATAAAGCGAAAAGTGAGAATAAGCTCTATTAAAGATAATACAAATAATACATTGTATATCTAAATAAAATTTGGTAGGAAATATATGAATGAGTGAACAGAATAAAAAAAAGTACTGTAGAATACTTTATTTTTGCTATTTTCACTGAAGGGATGATTCTGTGAAAATAAAATCCAGCGAATATACTTTTTTTCCTATATTTCACATTAAACTCATCAAAAATCAGTGAAAATAAATTCCATACAAAACGCCCAAAAAGCCTTTTCAGCGAAAATGAATTCCAGTGAAAATAAAGTATTCCACAGTATTTATTTATTTGCTTCCTCATTTATACATGTATAAAAGAAAGACTAAAGTTGCCTGTTGTTCTATTCTCCAGTTTCGCCACTAGGAATAAAAATGTCATCAACTCAGGGCAGGGATATTACTTTTACTGTTATACATTACACACAAATGCCAGCCATAAATCAATGTCAATTTACAGTGGACACACAATATTTGCACAGGTAGTTAACAAACTTCCTAGGAAAGTCTCTAGAACATTGAAATATAGCAGGCGACTTCCTTATAGGCGCTATAAATTGATGATATCATTTTGGACTAATTTATTTTTAGGTACATACTATGGCTAAATTGTTTTACATATTACAACATTAGGCCAGACTTATATTATCCCTTGTTTGGCAAACCCGTCGAATGAACAGGAGTCAAAAATGAAATAAAAATAAAATTTAATTTCAGCGTAATTTCTCGCGCTCGCTGACTTGTAAGTGCAGAAAATTGCTAAAAAAACTTATTTTTATCTTCATTTTTTTCCCGCCTGCCGCATAACAAACCCAAGTTGCATTTTTGTGGGAGTATCATGATCAAAGTATCGAAGTCTCGCGCAGATGAGAAACAAGATTATACATGGAATAAAATTTTATTTTATTTCTTCTCTCCGATCAATGATCTCACTTACAATTCTTTGAGAATCACACAAATCAAAAAAATTGCCTTATAAAAACTCAAGACACAAGGAATAAAAAATGTCTGGCCTTATTGTGACTATACAAAGAAAGCGTTGTAAATTATCTGTATGAATCTTATTTGAGGTTGATGCAACCATCTGAGGGAAGTTGATGGCATTGATACTGACTTTCCCAGGAAAATTGCAAGTTGTACAGGTGTACAAATCTGCAACCAATATGCCCACCTTAGACAGAATGAATAATAATAATTATTACTTACCATACATAGATAATGTGCACTATCTTTTTCATGCATAATTAGTTTTCCATACTTTTTGATGTCTTCCCCATTTTTACAAAATCCACAAATGATAGCAGCATTGGATGATGGCTCAGTATTTTCAGGTGGCATTGCAGTATTCAGCCTTGCCTCAGAAAAAGTTGCTGATCTAGAAATTTTCATCATATCTACTGTATTATAACTTGATTCAGGGGTCTCTTCTGTGCTTGGTGATTTAGCTGATGAAACCTTATCTGGTGTTTCAAGGCTTGAAGTTCCCACCGTGTCTGGTGATATATCACCTGATTGAACAGTCTTTTCTGTGAATTTAATAGGGAAGAAAGAATGCTATGAACTATTTAGCATCTTACATTTTCAAATTTGGAACTCATTAGTCAATATTTTCAATCAAAAATATCAACATTATTGACCACTTTGTGTATTATAACTGATGATAAAAGTTTTCAGCTAATAACTTACCAATCAGAGTGCTTGGAGATTCTGCAAATATACTGATACTATGTGAAGAAGATTCATCACTCTCATCTTCATCAATGATGTTGACCAGTTTGTTATGTTTGTCTTTCTCATGTGTCCCGTTGTCTTCATCACCGGCATCTTCATCAATGTTATTGTTATGTTTGTCTTTCTCATGTCTACCGTTGTCTTCATCACCGGCATCTTCATCAATGATATTGTTATGTTTGTCTTTCTCATGTCTACCGTTGTCTTCATCACCGGCATCTTCTTCAACGATATTGTTACGTTTGTCTTTCTCATGTGTACTGTTGTCTTCATCACTAATGACCTCTTCTTTTATTTCAACCTTGCTAGTATGATGCTGTATAGTACTAGTTGTGGTTGTTCTAGCATAGTCATAACTGTCACAGCCATTTTCGCTATCACTTGATGTTTCACTTTCATCTTCACTGTCTTCACTGTTGCATTCTTCAACAGTGTTGATATCATTTTTACAATAAAATGCAAGACTGAAACTAATATAAAAACAATAAATATGAAAATGATACAGTTCCAATGAATGATACAAAAGTTGGCTGAGCAACCTCCATGCTGACAAAAATGATGGCTGCAAATTATGCATGATAAAATCATGTAATTAATAAATTTGTACTTCTAACATTTACCCAGAATGAAGAATAAAAATAGCCATGTGTAAGGCTTGGCATCAGACATGCCACAAAGATAGAGATATCAATAATCAGGTTCAAAACGAATAAAGTGTTACTCCAATAACCCACCCAATATTAGTGTATTATTGAAAAATTTAATACAAGATTAATAAATACAATAATACATAGTCACAAATTATTATATCCTGTTCATTACATGTATTTCAAATTGTTTCATCAGAAACTTACATTAGAATGATTATTTGTGTCTTCGCATCCTAAGCATCTTAGTACCGTAAAAACTCCAAAATTTCGACCGGTTTTAAATAATTGGCGTTGGAAATGTGGCGTGTTTTTAGAGTCAAAATTAAGGTGCATTTTCGGACGGTCGAATTTTTCAGAATAGAAATCAGCAAATGAAAAAAATGGGGATGATAGACAGTGTGCTTCGTTAGTTTTTAAAAAATGCAATGTCCGTCAATTGACGTAAACTTCCCTACGTTTCACGGTAAAAGCAAAGGTCATGGCCGAGTTGTAGGCTAAACAACTCAAAATTAAAACAAAGTCATCAATCAGTGAGTATTATGACAAGGAAAACAAAACATCAATGACACGTTCCCGTTCCGTTCATATTTGAGTGACATATACATTCAAAGCAGCAACAATATGGATGCTGAACTGCATTCAGTAAAACAAAATAGCCACCAGTCAGCCATTTTCAACACAATCCAAAAAAAAATTTAAACTAAATTTGCCCACGCATGACTAAGATTCAGTTCCGGTATGGTGAAAATGTGCAATTTTTGTGAATTTTTGACCTTAAAAGTATTGGCCCAAATGCATAGACATATGTATGATATAATGTATGATGTGTATGTGAAGTTTGAACTTGATCTGTCCAGGCATGTCCGAGATATGGATCGAAAACTAAATTCTTTAAAACAAAATGGCCGCCAGTTGGCCATTTTGAACTTGATCCGAAGAAAAATTGGTATGCATCAAGCTTATATTATGTTTAATATATGCACTAAATCTGAACAAAATCCATCCATGCATGCATGACTGAGATCCGGTTCCGGAATTGTGAAAATACGTGATTTTGATGCATTTTCGGCCTTAAAATGGCCATCATTCAGCTATTGTTAAGCGGATCATGAAACAAATGCACATATCTATTTGTGACATGATGTACCATGTGTGTGTGAAGTTTGAACTTGATCAATCCAGACATGTCTCGGATACGGATCCAGAACTGAATTCTTTAAAACAAAATGCCCGCCAGTCGGCCATTTCGAACTTGAGCCGAAAAAAAAAATGACGTGCATCAAGGTCCTATTATGTTTCATGTATGTACCAAATTTGAACAAAATCCGTCCATGCATAACTGAGATCCGGGTCCGGAATGGTGAAAATGTGCGATTTCAATGCATTTTCGGCCTTAAAGCGGCCGCCATTTGGCTATCGTTAATGAGATCATGAAACAAATGCACATACATATTTGTGACATGATGTACCTTGTGTGTGTGAAGTTTGAAC